TTGTTTCTAAGCTGTGTCCGCTTTTATAAGGGACTGCCATGCAGTAAGCACCTCACTCAGGAGAGACCGGCAGAGACCTGGCGGGTCAGGGCCACCGGCCACCGCTCGCTGCCCTGCCTGGGTAGGCTCTCTGCGGAGCGCGGCCTCCCTGCTCTCTCCTCAGCTCATGGGCCAGTCTCCCAGCCTCCTCCCTGCCCACTCCTTCCTGCCTCACCTGCTCGCACTGATTGGAACCGCCCGGCTCTGCCCTGGGAAGTATGACTTCTAGAAACGCCGTCTCTTCCTTAACAGAAGCCTCTGTTGGCGAGGGCTGGCTCCAGCAGGAAGCCATGTTGACAGGAAAGGATGGAAACATGCTCTCAAGTGCCGCGAACACTCCAAGTAGCAGGAGGTTAATTTTCTGGACATAAGAAAACGCACAGCTTTAGAGTAGCAAGGGCCAGCTGAGAACATCCCTGAAAAGCATAAATACAGCCCGAGAATGAACATGGCACATTGAGTGTTCCATTGTCAGGCCGTTTCTTTTTAGAAGGCGGATGACAGGATTGTAAAAAAGGCATTTGGAAAATATTCTTTCATGCCGGGCTTGTCATTGCAAAAACTCGAACAAAACCGCAGGCCTGTGACCGCTGTGCAGGGCCTCCCGTGGCCGCCCGTGGCTGTCCGGGCCTCCCGTGGCCGTCCGTGGCTGTCCGTGGGGGCGGGCAGGGGTCACACGCGGTGAAGCTGAAAGTGGACACTCGCACCTGCCCTGCCCTCCCCCGTGGAAACGTCCGCAGTCAGTGAGGCCCATGAGGTCCCTGCCGACTCTCCCTCTCGTTTCGGGCATCACCCCGGGCGCCCCTCTGCTCCTCTGCCCCAGACCTGAGAGTCTGAGCGTCTGAGGTGTCGCGGGTGGTAGCTCATCCCAGGCTCGGGCTCTGTTCCTGTGCTCTGCTCTCTGCTCCCACTCGCCTCCAGCCCTGGGGACCGGGCCCTGGCTGGCTCCCCTGGGGCAGGTGCGAGGGGCAGCCGCCCTCCAGCCCAGAGCACCGCATGCAGAGCCGCAGCCGACGCCAGCCCGCGCTGTCACCCGCATCCAGCTGGGGACCATGTCACATTGGCAGGTCTTCTTGCTGCAAGTCTGATCGGATTTGGGAGCCACCGTGGCCAGAAGCCTCTCCCGTCACCTGCAGGGTCTGGTTGAGCTGCTCTGCCAGCCTCAGCCAGTGGACTCTTGATACGGGGACGGCCAGGGCGGTGGCTCTCCTGGAGACGGCGGGGGCCGGAGGGGAGAGAAGAGGGAAGGGAAGAGAAGTGTACGTTAAAAATGCAGAACACGGATCTTTTCAAAATCAGTGAACAAGGGTGAGGTCACCTGCCGTGATTTGGGGCTGCCCTCCCGACAGGCCGCGGTTTCCATACATAAACTATTGTCAACGCTTTTTTCAAGACAAGTCCAGCTCCTTAATCGTGTGATGGTAATAGCTGACGTAAGTTCAGTTACATGCTGTTAGACCTACATAAAGTGAATATGGCATCGTTAACTTGAGTATTTTATTACTGGGGAAATTGTACAGTTTTCATTTTTAGCTGTACAGCGCCACCTAGTGGATCTGTGTTCATCAGCTTTTAATATTTACCTGCCTTTGCTGCTCATCACTTCTCTAAAACACAGACTCTGCAAGATTTCTGTGGCAAGACTTTTCTTAGTTACATAGCTGCCCAGACAAAAACACAGAGGTTACACACCTCCCTGCGGGATCCCGGCAGGGTGTGCGCATCGCTCTGCGCACAGTGCTCGCTCTGAAACCCGTTGGTGAGCATTGCCTTCTGAGCTAGAGAGAACTCTTACTCGTGATGGTTTCCCCGCTGTCCTCTCTACACCGAGCTATGCTGCTGATTGCATCATTGCCTGCTGCTGTGTTTAATGTCCTGGGCCATAGGCCCAGTACCGACTGCACAAATGTTAGGTTGCCTGGGAGAATGGCAGGGAGACTTAGGAAACTGATACTATCAATAACAATAAAAGCGCAACGTGCTAATCAGACCGGACAGCCGAACAACCTTCCAGACGCAGGGGGCTGCGAGGGCCGAGCCCCTTGCACAAATTTCGTGCATCGGGCCTCTGATATTAAAATAATAAAACTTTCAAAATTGCGTTAGTATCCCAAGAAGTTACTGGTTGATACATATTGTTGTCTGCTCGTTCACATGGAAAAGTAGCCGAAAGTGTTCTGTTCTGTTTTGTTTTGTTGTGAACTCACTTATTTCATCTTCACACTGAGCCCATTTCTCAGTGAATTATATTCTCTCTTGTGGCCTCAAATCCACCGTGATTTTATTATACGTGCACAAAAGGAGACACTTTACCCAATTAGAGCATCTTAATTAAAATTAGTACCGACATACCGTTGGCAGCCCTGGTGATCCAAACACAAGCACAGGGCCAGACAGCGTGGCTCCCTCCCCTGCTCAGCTCCCCTGCTCCAGCCTGTCCACGCTGGGGGCTCCGCCTCAGAACAGACTGCGATCGCCATGGGGGTTCGGTCCAGTGTCCGCTCTGTCCACTGAAGCGAAGCACAGAAAAGAGGGAGCAGGCAGGAAGGCACTAGAGGCCAAAGGTTTTAAGCACATTTATTTTAAAAAATTATAAAATCTGAAAATATTCCTGAAGCAAATATGACATAATGTCCTTGGTAAGGAAAAGACCAGCTTTTGGGGAGGATGTTTGGGGAAGTGTGATGTTTACAGAAAGCGGTGGACACTGCAGGGGAACCCAGCAGAGGGGAGACTGGCTGTGTGAGCTCCTGCTCACTGCTGGGGAGCTCAGCGGTGTCTGGAGACGGAGCAGCCTCTGCACGAGCAGGCGCTGCGCCCGCCCTGGGCCCCCAGAAAACAAACACTTGGAAGCTTTTAACATTCCTGGCGGTCACCTCGTTGTCTGAAGACCTTCCTTACCTATCCATCACCTCGTTTCCCAGAGAGAAGGGGCAGAATGCGGGTGTGCTTCCCAGCCGGGCAGTCATCACTGGACTCGTTGGTTCCTGGACTCCATCTCCAGGTCTGCAGGCCCGCATCTGCCGGGCCTGGGATGTTTAGGTGTCAGTTGCAGACAACTGCACAGTGATTTAGGCTGGGCCTGCCTTTGAGTAAATCCTAGCAGCGAGAATAAGGTTCATCTTGCTGGCATTGCCTCTGCTTTGCCTAGCAAATAATTGCATCCGACGTTGTCCCCGCAGTCTCTCAGGGCGTTGGTGGTGGCCTTCGAGTGCTCTGAAAGTAAAAGGACGAGAGGAGTAGACTTGACGGGAATGGTACAGATTGCAGACTTTCTCCCAAACTGAACTCTGAAAGCGCGTCTGGTCCTGGAGGCGGTGGCGCAGGCCAGACGGCAGCCCGAGGGCGGCTGATGGACTTGCTCTGACCTCCTGCTCTCCCGCTCCCTCCGCTGCCTGAGGCTCTCTTGTACCTACAGCTTTGTCTGCTCCCCCCCCCCCCCCCCCACAGTGACTCCTCGCTGCCTGCCTCAGGACAGACATTCACCACTTTATGCCTGTCACACGAAAAGCGTCTACAGGAAGGCGTTGTTTAAGTCACTGCTTGAATGTATACGTGTATTTAAATCAGATTCCTAGCGTGTTTTAAAAATCTGTACTTCTCAGCTTCTAACCATTAGATTCCATCAAAAATCTGAACGATTTCTTCCTTCTAGATCATTTTTACAATAACATTTACAGTAACAAGTTAGCTAATTTCAGAATCTGTATGAATAAATGCCTCTAGAAACTCAAGCCTATCAGCTGTCATTAAACACCCTCTCCTGAGCTGAGTGGTGCCGAGGGAGGAAAGGTCGCTGTGTGTGGTGGGTAACGGTCACCCCTCACCAGGAGTTCGTGCCAGGCTAGTGCTCTCCACTGAACACGCATTTCCTCTCGTCCTCCTCACAGCCCTACCGTGGGCACCAGGGCTCCGCCCACGCAGGGGTCAGAAGAGATAAAGGAGAAAGTCCAACCATTTCTCGATTCCTCAGGCAGGCTGTGGGGGAGGGGCGGGAGAGGCAGAGGAAGGATTCTGAACTTAAAAACATTTTCCCTTGATTCTTTCCTATACTCTACTAAATCTGTTTTTATTTTTGTGTTCTTGCTCTGAGATGTCACAACTCATTTTTGAACGAACGCTCAGCAAAGGGTTGGCTTCACAGTGAACATCTGGGCAGGGGCAGAGCACCTCTCGGTTTTCTAGGACGAGCGGAAGTGGCCTTCTGAACCCCACCCGCCCCCACCCCCACCTGCCTCCTGCTCTTCAGTCTCCACTAAAAGCAGTCTCCTTATGCTTCTTTTTCTTTAAAAAACAAACATGTAGTTGATGTGCCAAATCCTGCAATTCTCAAGCGTTTCCATAATGTCCTCTTTAGGGGCTTTATAACAGGAGCAGCCTGTGGTTTCAGCCTGAGACGCAGGCAGACTCCAAACACTGCGCCTTTCCACTGAGCTGCGCATAAAGGACGCGCAGCGGTTTCACGCGTGTTTACGAGGAAGAAGCCGTTGGAATGTTTATTTTTCGGTTCTGGCAGAGCGTGCCCGGCCAGAGAGAGGGCTGTGTGAGGCATGTGGCCTGGGCTGAGGGCAGGCAGCGGCCCCTTGCCGGGCTGGTGAGCGCACGCGGAGCTCTGCGGAGAGCGCGTGTGGCCCGGGCGCTGTGTGCGGGGCGGGGAGACCCGTCCCTCCTGTGTGCGTATTGGTGCAAACAGCAGGAGATCGGTGCACGGGGTTGAGGATGGCCGTGACATAGTAGTGCTAGTACCCTCTTTCATTTCTGTCTCCACACAGGTAATCATACACCCACACACGTACATAGATACATGCATGTGCGTGTGTGCTGATAAAAGGCATTGATCTCGTTTCTGCTGGGGTGTGGCCTTGAGTCCACGAGGCATAGGAGGGGCACCTGGCTGCCCTGCTCTTCTTGGCGCCTGGCAAGGCCTCACCCAGCGGTGCTTTTTGACTTGCTCCCTGCAGACGCCCCTCTACCTGGTGAACCACGGGGAGGCGGGGCCCGTGCGCTGCAACCGCTGCAAAGCCTACATGTGCCCCTTCATGCAGTTCATCGAGGGCGGCCGGCGCTTCCAGTGCGGCTTCTGCAGCTGCGTGAACGAAGGTGAGTGCCAACGTGTGAACCAAGTGAATTCCAAAAACTAGAAACTCCTGCACCGTACACCCCAACACGGCTGCTCGGAGCCTCCCCCCAGCTCAGTGTTGCCAAGTGGCCGCTAAGGCCTCCTGCTCGTCCCGCATCTTTGCAGACATTGGCTTCCCACATTCCGAGACCCATGTGCACATAGGAACCTGTACATTCTCTAAAACAAAATGGCCGTCATGCAGCAGGAAAGTAGGAAAGTCAAGCCTCAGAGGTTATTTTTAAGCCCAACCCGTGCCATCCCATTGCAGTCCACAAGGTAGTTCACACCTGGAAGCTGCACTGAGCTGCTGGTCTAAAACAGAAGGCACTGCCACCTCTGTGGGTTCCCAGGAGGAGGTCAGTGAGCATGGGGGGTCCTGGCGCTTCTAGCCAGCCCGCCGTCTCGGAGCAGGGCTCGCTGCCCAGATGCCAGGCCATATTTGTGCAGGCGCTCGGGGACTCCTGGCCGCTCCGGCTGCTGGACGGCCTCCAGGCCCTCGCCAGCGCGAGCCCCTCAGCCATTCGAACGGAAGCCAGAGTCGTGCTGAGATGGGAGCGCGCGGTCTTTCCCTAATACAGTCATCGCCGCCAGCGGCCCAAGCAGAAGGTGGCCGTGTGCACCCGCGCGGAGGCACCCTCGTCACCGGGTAACACATACTGTAGCTCACAGTCCAGTCCCAGTGACCACCGCGCTTCTGTTAGTGTGCTGAAAGCTGACCTGGTTAGAAAGCCAGCACCGCTTTTCAAAAGGCCATGAAGGAGGGACAGCTGGGCCTTGGCCGTGACCATGAGAGCAGTGCCTGCATCCTGTTTCTCTCCAGTGTCCCCGTCCTAACTGTTCCTTGTCACCAGCAACTTGTAGGAGGTCAGGAGGGGTTTTTTAGAAACGCTTTTAAATGTGGGTCTTTAGAATATATTACATTCCAGCTTCAAATACTTGTCCCCTCCTACTAACTCTGTTCCTCCCACAATAAATTTTGAGAACTTACGACATTGTCTGTGTTATAAAAACAAAAGACTTCCTTTCCCTTTTTGTTCTGTTAGTCCCGCCGTTCTACTTCCAGCATCTGGACCACGTCGGCCGGCGGCTGGACCACGGCGAGAGGCCGGAGCTGTCGCTGGGGTCCTACGAGTACGTGGCCACGTTGGATTACTGCAGAGTGAGTGTTCCCGACGCCAGTGTCCGCACGCGTGTCCAGTCCACGTGGATGACCTTCACGTGCGGAGAACTGACAGAGCATGCCGGTGCCACGGGCACAGACCATGCCCCGGGCTGGGGACACGAGGAGGTAGCAGCACACACTGCAGCGGTCGTTTTATAAAACGCGCCAGACACGGAAAGCAGGGACTTCATGCTGTGTCCCCTCCAGGCAGAGCACGGGGTCCTCAGTGCCGCCTCCCTCTTTGCTCTGTCATCTCACGCCATAGGCCTCACTTCCAGGCAAAGGCCCGCAGGGTGGGCTGCAGACAGGGACGTGCTTCTGGGCTCCCGTCTCTGTTGTCCCCACGAGAGCGAGAGAGCGACGGCCCTCAGCACCCCGACTCTCAGCAGCTGGGGATCCCGGCCTTGGAATGTGGCCCTGCGGCTCCCCCACTTCCTTAATCTAACCATTAAGTTGAGGGATGTGAGCTTCCTTATAAGACCACTGATGCTGGGCCCAGACCACCACCAGCGCTGTCCTCACTTTACAGAACTCGGCCTGCTCTGATCCGCCCCCCTTGGAGGCTCTGTCTTTGTACACGGTCATCCTTCCATTAGAGATGCCCCCCCCGCCCCACTCCTGCTTCCTCCCGGGCACCTGGCCGGGCTTTTGTTTACGTGGGTGGGTGTGTGCGTGCACAACAACTGTCTCTGACGTCATCATGGTGGCCGTTCACTAAATCTTCTGTTGCGCTGTTGTTTTCATAGAACTTGGTCCGTGTGTTTTAGCAGTGACCCCTGTGGGTTTTAGATCTGTGTCTTCCCTCTTATAGGTTCCGATCTCCCTGGGGACAGGAATCTCGTCCCAGTTAACTTTGTGGTCGGCCACGGCGTCTGGCACAGGCAGGCGGCCCAGGGGTGGGATGAGTGAGTGAGTGAGCGACTCTGCAGGTGCGTGCCTGTTCCCAGGGCTGCTGTGTCCCTTCTCGGGGGCAGTGATGGTGGCATCAGCATGGGCACCTGGCAGGGCTGGAAAGTTCTCCGTGACTTGAAGTTTTCTTGTCACCAGTTCAGGTTTCAGCGCGTGTCTGCAGTGCCACGTGTGCACCTGAAGAAGCAGCCCCTGACCACTCCCTGCCCCCCTCCCAGAGAGGACAGCGCGCAGGCCGGGGCGAGGGAGAGCCCCTGAGCTGAGCGCTGCCGGGGGTTCGCAGGCCCCGTCCGCTCAGTGCAAATACAAAGCACATTTTCCAGCTGGAAGCTTTTTAGCTGCTTGGATTTCAACATGTTTTTAATTTAACGTTTGCATTTGTTTTAGTGTTTTGTCTGGGTTGTTTTTCTACAGCACATAGAACTGGTTATAAAAGGTTAACGCTTTATTAGTTCAAAATGTACCACTTGCACATAGTTTGGGGGATGTAAGAACATTCTCGGTACAAATGCTTTATTTCAGGGAGACACGTGTCCTAAAGCGTCGGCTGCCTTGGGGGAGTTTGCTTTCGGACGCTGTTGACGGGAGGATGCTGGGCGGACGTAACGTCCTAATGCAATGTGAGGAAGCCGTCAGGACTCGGGGCAGGATTTACTCGCTGATCCTGGGAACCGTGGCATAAATCTAACTCTGTCCGTGTGCCCAGTTCTCCGCCAACAAGGCCACAGTATCTTGATTTTATGCTTTTTTAGAAGAAACCAAGCAGAGAGTCAGATCTATTTCTGGGAACAAGAGTCTCCGTACTTTAACCCCTGTTGTCTGGAGTGTCCCAGGTGTCTGACCAGTGGGAAGTCTCCGCCACAGGCAAGGAGCCGAACAGAAACGGGCGTCTGGAAGTTTGTGTGAGCTTAGTCTTCCTCTGATTATTCCAAGCGAGGCTCATGATAGAAGAGGCCGTACATGCCTTCCCGTTTAATTGTAACTTAAATGTACATTAAGTATCACCGTGAGCTGCTTTACAGATTTGGATGATGGGAAAGAGCTTATTTTATTTATATGTATATGTTTTAACGTATAGAACTTAAAGGGGAATTGCAAGCTCACATTTCCCCATTCACTTCAGTTTAGTTAATACCAATTTACAATTATTTAACATTTACTACGTGCGACGCTGTGCTCCGTGCTCTCTGTTCTGTGTGACCGCCTCACGGGGCACCCTGCGGTGAGCACAGCGTTGCCGGGGAAACTGAGGCTGCAGGGTAAGTACCAACGCGGGTCACACGTACAGAGAGTGATGTGGCCGGACCACAGAGGCCTGTCCCCTCTCAGGCTCGGCAGAGTGCGGACGGGTCTTCACAGGCCGACCACGAAGCCCCTGGAGAAGAGGCCCCCGCGCTGCCACGTGACGGGCAGCCTGTAGGAGTTGACGGGCGGTGTCTGCATGTAAAGTGCCTGAAATTAAACGCTCATTCCAAGCCAGCCTTCATTTCTAAAGGAAAACATCGTTTTCCTCTTAGTTTTACTTCACTTTGACATTCCTTTGGATGCCTCTCTTGGCTCTGTGCTGTGAGAGACCAAAACTAGCCAGATAACGAACCTGATCTCAAGGTACTCGCCCTGCGTAGGCCTGGCCAACCAGATACAAGTGCTGCACATGCTGCAGGTCGCATAGCCAGGTGCCTAGGAACTCGCACCCAGGAACTCAGGTGGGAGCCAGGGCGGGGCTTGAGTGGGTAGAGCAATGGGTTGAGGAAGCCAGCGATGAAGTCATTACAGTTTCTGGGCACAAGATGACAGAATTGGATGGGGAAGAGTAGGGATGCGTGAAACGTGAAAGGAGCATTTTGAAAGAATTAGCCCGTGGGACTCAGTGACGGGAAGGAAGGGAATAGTCAGATCTAACCCCCGTCTCAAGCTTTGGGTTGGCGTGTGGTGATGTCATTGATAGAGAAAGGCGTGGGAAGAGAATGTCACTTAGAGGAACGATAAAGTAGCTCTGCACACACGGGGAACGAGCTACAGGAAGCTTTCCGTCGGAACGTGTTCGGTGGCGCCATGGCGATGCTGGGCCAGGCCGGGGCGTAGAGTGTGCAGACTCGGCTCGGGTGGGACTGGCCTGGTGAGAGGCTCGGAGCAGGCAGCCTCCCGTCACGCATGGGAGAGAGATAGAGAGTTAGAAGGCGTTCTAGTTTAGTCGATGGGAATGATCGTTTTCGTTCCATATGCGTCAGCAGAGGTCTGTGTCCGAGGCAGAGTGGGTGGGGCCAGGAGTGATGCGCAATAAATGCTCACGTGCAGAGCAGTGGGTTTCGTTCACTTGTTTGTTGGTCTGATTTTGGATCTGCCAAAGGATGGAGGCTTTCAGGTTCATGATTTTTTAATTCCTGTTACTTTTTTCCTATTTATTTCTTTTTTATTGATTGATTGATTTTAGAGAGGGAAGGGGAGAGAGAAATGTTGATTTGTTCCACATATTTCTGCATTCGTTGGTTGATTCTTTTTTTTTAAATATATTTCATTGATTTTTTTACAGAGAGGAAGGGAGATAGAGAGAGTTAGAGAAACATTGATGAGAGAGAAACATCCATCAGCTGCCTCCTGCACACCCCCTACTGGGGATGTGCCCGCAACCCAGGTACATGCCCCTGACCAGAATCGAACCCGGGACCCTCCAGTCCATAGGCCGACGCTCTATCCACCGAGGCAAACCGGCCAGGGCGTTGGTTGATTCTTATATGTGCCGTGACCTGGGATGGGACCCGCAACCTGGCAAATCTGGATGATGCTCTAACCAACAGAGCTACCCCACCAGGGCCTTTTTCTCTTACTTCAAATGAAGAACTTTTACTAGAAGAATGTTATATCTAGCCTTGTAGTGCTTATAGAATGAATCAGTAAGATAACCTATAATAATAAAAGTGCAATATGCTAATTAGACCGGACGTCCTCCCGGATGTCCTTCCGGACCAAGCTGGGGCTGTGAGGGAAGCCGGTGCCGGCAGCTGGGGGAAGGAAGGCCCACTCTTGCACGAATTTTGTGCATCGCGCCTCTAGTATGGAGATATTATCATTAATTTTATAATTATAACAATTAAAGTACAATTTTTTAGACAATTCTATTATTTATTATTAGAAGCCCAGGGCGCGAAATCACGCAGCCCCGCCTACCCGCACCGGTCTTTGATCGTTAGGGCGTTAGGGCCACAGGCCTTTTATAATATAGATAAAGTTAAAATGAAATTAGCCTTACCTCTTTATTTTTTCTGTTAGTGTGAGTCACTAAGTCGTTGCCTGTAGCTCTTTTCTAAATATTTGTGTAAGGTCGGCTGACGCATCCCTTCCTCAGTGTTGGACCCTGGCCAGTCGAGGGGCCGCAGAGCGTCCGTGTGGCAGCTGCTTTGTGTTAAAGTGATTATTTTAAACAGAAAAGGTGACGCCATCCATGCTTCATCATAAAGACGTTGGAAGTGGGAAGCATTTAACAATGTAGTTTAATTTTTAATTACAATTAAGTTGAGAATGGCCATCTGAAATTAATGCAATTTTACTGCAGATTCAAAGACAAGAACTAATTATCACGTGTCCTCTTTTCTGGCACCTTTTGGGGTTCATCTTCCCTGAGGCAGGTTGTCAGCGAGTCCCCAGCCCGCTCCCCTGGGCACTGGCAGCCAGAGCCATCAGGTCTCGGGGATCCCAGCAGGATGCTCCCCAGCATGTGGGGCTGACCGGGTCGGGGCCTGGAGAGAAACAGCCTTTGCCGTTTATAGCCTGAGACTGGGATGGCTTAGTCCCCGGCCACGGCCTGAGTCGTGATTGAAATACCTGGTGGCCTCCGAGTGCTGTGTCATGTGACCATCGCTCTATAATCGTTTCTGTCATTTGCTTCCTGCAGAAGAACAAGCCTCCCAACGCTCCCGCCTTCATCTTCATGATCGACGTGTCCTACAGCAACATCAAGAGCGGGCTGGTGCGGCTCATCTGCGAAGAGCTGAAGACGGTGCTGGAGAGGCTGCCCAGGTAGGCGCCGCCGCGCGTGGAGTCGGCGCACAGGCTGGGGAAACGGGGTGCGAGGGACCATCCCACCTTTATAAGCTCGGAGGGTCCCGTGGGCGGGGGAAGCGTGGGAGCCTGCTGCTCATTCTCCAGGCGTAAACCAGTGGTTGCTGGGGGTGGTGGGAGCTCTTGGCCCAGGTTCCCTCGCCCTCCGATGGGCCTGTGGCTCTCCTGCCGCCAGGGCTGGTGCAGGGAGCGGTGGCTGGTAGAGTGTGCAGACTCGGCTCGGGTGGGACTGGCCTGGTGAGAGGCTCGGAGCAGGCAGCCTCCCGTCACGCGTGGGAGACGCGCTCAGGACACAGGCTGAGTCCGCCTGCACCGCCTCGGCACGAGCACCCTGTCTGGAAAGCGATGCTTGGGGTGGGTGCCCGCGCCTCCGGGCCCCAGGTCCGCGGGTGGGCGGAGGAGTGACTGGGCCGGCAGGAGCAGTTTTGTTTGTATCCGTGACAACATTCCTGAGGATGGTTAGGAGAGGGGGTGGGGGGTGGGGGTGGGGGGAGGCTGTTTAGAAACAGTGAGATGCTTTCATCAGGACCCTAAAGGGAAGGAACCCTAAAGGGAAGGAACCCTAAAGGGAAGGGTGCTGGGAGCGCGTGGAGGTGGGCGTGAGAGGCCCGGCCAGGGCGCAGCTCGGACCCGGGTCCCACGCCCCCCCCAGGCCGCTGGGTCTCCTCTGAGCTTCAGCTGGGCCCGCGACAGGAAGGGCTCTGACTCCTGGAAACGGCCCCGCTCCTCCCCTCTCCCTCGGTCCCCTCGAGCTGAGAGTTTTCCTCCTCCCCCGCCAGCCTGTCCCTTCCACACGGGTGTGAGCTCTCACGTCTCCACATGTCTGACCCCGCTCCCTCCTCAGGCGTCGCACAGCCCGTGGGAGCAGACGGGTGACCTGGCAGAAGACCGAGGGCAGTAATAGGGCCACAGGGGTCCCTGCGCTCTGGACAGACTCCTCTTAGGAGTGTTTATTCAAACCAAATACCTTCTCTCCCTTGACCTTTCCAGGCAAACCTGTGTTTCCTCCCCCAGCTTCACTTGGGCTGTTATGTGTGTAGCTTTATGTTGTCTGTGTAGGATTGCCATCAGTGGGACTGACTGCTTTGAGCCACGCAGGCCATGTGCCAGATAGCCTTCTGAAAGCGCGCTACGTCTTGATCACGGTCTAAGGAATGGTAGTCGCTTAGCTGATCTTTAGAAAAGGGAAGGCCCCGTTTTTTAAAAAATATATTTTTATTGATTTCAGAGAGGAAGGGAGAGGGAAAGAGGTAGAAGCATCAATGATGAGAGAGAATCATTGATCGGCTGCCTCCTGCACACCCCCTACTGGGGATCGAGTCCCAATCCAGGCATGTGCCCTGATGAAGAATCAAACTGTGACCTTCGGGTTCATAGGTCGATGCTCAACCACTGAGCCACACCAGCTGTGATTCGCATGAGTCTCTGATGTCTTATCACACGGGGTGCATTGATGGGAAGGACGGGCCGGGGTTTCGCGTTCTCTCGATAGGATTGAGCCGGGCAGTGATACTGGTACAGGGAACATGTTAAGGTAGTCCCCTGTTCTCAAATTAGAAAAATACGCCCCATGGAAATATGTACTGGTGCTGTGCACTGATGTGAGATGTTCTGATCAGATGCCTTTTAAATGGTGACTTGGTTTTAAGGGAGGCCACGAACCCAGGATGCTCCTCTCCCATCACTTGCAAACGTCCCCACCCCGTGGGAAAACCCACCCGGATTCTGTGTGTCGGTTTCTTTTCTGCTTTACGCCTTCGTTGACTCCAATTAGCCATTAAAAGAAAGTAAGTGCCCTGCGTCATCTGCTGGGCGTGTTCCGCATGACGTCATCGACGGCCGGCTGGGACACAGGCGTTAGCCCGGGGTGGGCTGGGAACCAGCCCCAGATGAAGCCCGATGGCCGTGTGCTCACGCCTGTGGTGTTAACACCTCCGGCCGGGCTGACGTAACGTCGAGGCGCCGTCACGGCACTGAGCTGCGAGGTGCGTACAGTCAGATGCAATGTCTCCACGTCCTGGTGACCCCACAGAACCCTGACTCCTCACTGGACCCGTGGGAGCAGAGAGCACGGGCTGCAGGCCCACCCGCATTGGTTTCCCGTCCAGGATTCATGAATGTGAACTGAAAGGCGCTGTCTGCTCAGAGCCCAGTGGGAGTGACTCGTAGGAGTTTACACGGGGAACTGCGTTCCCGTCCGTGCCACAGGGACGCCCACAGAGGAGGGAGCATTTGTGCTTGGCCTTGAAGGGGAGTGTCTGTCAGTAGGGCGGGAAGGGGAACGTGGGCACAGTGATTCACACATGGAGCACAGTGTGGGGCCCCAGAGGTGTGTGCATGTGTGTGTGCATGTGTGTGCACATGTGCGTGTCTGTGCGCGTGCATGTGTGTGCGTGCAGACCCCAGAATGGAAACACTCACCCAGTGCTTTGGGAAGGGATTGTGAGGCTCTGCTGAACTGCCCACCCATTGTCGCCGCCACGAGGAAGAACAAACACCTCAGTCAGCGGAGGCGGTGGAGGAGAAATAGGACAGGTGCCGGTCAGTAGTCTGTCACCCGCTGGAACGTCAGAGGAGCGAGAGGCCAGGTGGGCCTGACACTTCCATCGTGCTCCCTCTCCCTCCTCCTGTGCGTCACTCTGTGCCACGTGCGCGCTCTGTGCCACGCACACACTCTGTGCCACGCACTCTGTGCCACGCACACACTCTGGGCCATGCACACACTCTGGGCCACGCGCGCACTCTGTGCCATGTGCAGGTTCCGGCGCTGAGACAGCGGGTGGGTCTGCATCAGGCCCTGCAGCAAAGCCAGCTGCACCGAGGCCTGCGGGCAGGGGTCACACGAGGGGCAGGGGTCACACGGGGGGCATGGGGGGCAGGGGCCACACGGGGGGCAGGGGTCTCACAGGGGGCAGGGGCCACACGGGGGGCAGGGCCCCTCCACCGGGGAAGAGCTGTCCCGTCTGCAGCGCGCCCTTCTCTGGCTTCCGATGCTCCATGTCTTGGACCAGACGGCGGCTCCAGAGGGCTCTGCTTATAACGAAAGGAGGGGCCTCGCTGGTTTTTAAAAACTTAGCTGTGGATTGAGAATAAGTAGTAGAATTACGAGATGAAAGAAATCCGAGCATTTTTTAATAACGTCTATCTGGCATTTACTTAGAATTCTGAGTGTTTTCTTTGTCAGCTGCCTGGTGCCTGTGCTCCCCCACCCCACCCGCCATGACTCCGTGTCGTGCGCATCTGGTAACCATGGCTCAGGCGAGACGTTAGCGCCTCTGCCCCTGGGAGCCCTTGCTGACCCCAAGAGGCGCCTCTGAAGCTGAGAAAGGCTCCCACCTGTCTCCCTCCCAGGGAGGAGCCCGAGGCGCCGTCCGCCGTCCGCGTGGGCTTCGTCACCTACAACAAAGTGCTCCACTTCTTCAACGTCAAGAGCAACCTGGCGCAGCCGCAGATGATGGTGGTGACCGACGTGGCCGAGGTCTTCGTGCCCCTGCTGGACGGCTTTCTTGTCAACTACCACGAGTCCCAGTCTGTGATTCACAAGTACGTGCGCTGCTCCTGGCGTAGCTGCCGGCAGGTCTGCTTTGCTTAGGTTCAGTCACACATTGTCTGCTTTTGCCACGAGCCGCGGTGTGGACGGGTTATAAACCTCCGCCGTCGCTGTCAGCTCACCAGCCCAGCCCCCTGCCATTTGCGGGGAGGTCACGGGGCAGGCGCTGCCTCTGGGTGCGTGTGTCCCGTGATCACCGCAATGACGAGAGAATCACTCAGGAATGTGCAGCCTGAACAATGGGAAATGTAGAGGATAGGAAACATCTACAAAGAGCAGGATTCCGTACATGTTCCTAACGAAGCGTCCATTTTGGTGCCAAACCGCACCAGCCGTGATTCCTTAGGAACGACCCGAGACCCACCCTGGCGTTGGGGCGAAGCACGCCGGGTGTGGAGGTTGGAATGTGAGGGTTGGTTTGGTGCCGGCTCTTACAACCGCCTGTGCTCCTGCTCCGCAGTTTACTGGACCAGATCCCGGAGATGTTCGCCGACTCCAACGAGAACGAGACCGTCTTCGCGCCTGTCATCCAGGCCGGCATGGAGGCCCTGAAGGTGAGGGGCTCTTTCAGTTGCTAGTAAATGTGGTTCAAACCAGACACCCACAGAGGAAGTCCCGCGGGAAAGGAAGAGCCGCTGGTGTCAGCCCACGGTGGCTGCTGGCGGCTGCTCCAGTCTCGCCCACAGGCCTGGGGAAGTGGCCCAGCACGTTCCCACCCCCTGTGTCCCAGCCTCTGGTCTGTCAGGGCTTCCAGCTTAGCTCCTCCCGTTGGCGTTTATGAACGTTATACCGTCCATTCAGAATATTTCAACAGGATCTGACCCTCCAGACCTGAAGGAAAAACTCCCTCTCCCCCCGCCTCCTGGGGCCTGTGACTGTCGGTGACAGATGGGGGTCCCGGGGCCTTGCCCAGCGCCCGGCAGGTGCAGGCGCAGGCAGTGCCCTGCTTTGTGAGGCAGCGTAAGGGCATGGCCCTGCCTCCGTGCTCCGAGCTCCTCCCGTGTGCTAGCAGACGTGGCTCAGCACGGGCATGGCGTCGTTCCCTGGATCCCACAAAGGTGGCAGAGAGTACCCCCTGAGCCCGTGCAGACCTGCTGGAGGCGCCTCCCCTCCCGTGGGAGGTACACTGGGCCCTACCGGACGCCAGGCGAACCCAGGGGCGATCGGCAGACAGTGGGCAGGAGCGCAGAGTGCAGGCTTGTTGTCGCCATGTGGAGGCCTGACGGGAAGTCTCGGCTTCCCAGAGCCCCGCGCTGTCCCGTGAGGCTCCACGCGGTTCCTGCTGCGTGTGCTTCGCCCGCAGCATCCGACACGACACTCATAGCTCAGCCCTCACATCTCACTTGGCAGAGAACTGACTCCGAGTGGGCGCGTCCTCCCCTTGAGCCCACACGGAGGGTTGGCAGGAAGCTGGGCGTGGCCTCAGCGGCCACTCTCTGGTCGGTCACTGGTGGGGGGTGATCCTGATGGGCGTCTGCATCTGATTTCAAGATGCGGCATCACATTCCCTCCACAAGGGCCCATGGAGCCCCAGGCGAAGGGCCCGGGCCCCTGGGGCTGGAGGAGCCACGCAGGTCAGGGGTCCTTCCTCACGGAGCCTGGGTCTGCAGGAGGCAGCAGGAGGCGTGCGCTGGGCTGCGGCTCCCATCGCCCGAGCGCGGTCCTACCCACAGAGGAGAGCGACACAGGCCGTGGGGCCGGGCAGACGCCGCGGCTCAGCTCTGTCCTCAGAGCGCAGGACCTGCTCCACGGGCAGAGGGTCAGGTCGGGAACCACAGTGTGTGCAGGGGTGCAGGGGCAGCTCACCTCCCCGCTCCTCCTTCCTGCCCCCGCGCCCGCCCTCGCCCCCCAAGGACCTGGCTCCTCCTGTGCTGGGCGTCTCCAGGGCTCTCAGGAGAAAAGCCCAGCTGGCCAGGGCCTGGCTGTTACTCAGACACACGCTCTGGGGCTCGAGCCAGGCGGGGGCGAGGCACGTGGGAGGCGCGAGGGGCCCTCGCATGGCTGTCAGGCTCGCTTGGTCAGTGGCTTCCTGGCGCCGTGAAGCAGATTCTAACCCAGGGGTGGGCGAACTTTTTGACTCGAGGGCCACAATGGGTTCTTAAACTGGACCGGAGGCCGGAACAAAAGCATGGATGGAGTGTTTGTGTGAACTAATATAAATTCAAAGTAAACATCATTACATAAAAGGGCACGGTCTTTTTTTTTTTTTAGTTTTATTCATTTCAAACGGGCCGGATCCGGCCCTCGGGCCGTAGTTTGCCCACGGCTGCTCTAGACACTCTCACAGCTGGTTTCGCTTCCATGGGGCCGGGGTCACCCTTCCGTTACTCCCGATGCTCGAGACAGAGTCTAGGCACACGCTTCTCCCGCGTCATCTTCCTGGGGGCGGGTCCTGTGTGTGCTGTTGCCACACACCTCAGCGTTCTTTTTCTTTTTTTCTTAATACATATTTTTTTGATTTCAGAGAGGAAGGGAGAGGGAGAGGGAGATAGAAACACCAATGATGACAGAGAATCATGGGTCGGATGCCTCCTGCACATCCCACACTGGGGATGGAGCCTGCAGCCAGGCCTGTGCCCTGACCAGGAATCGAGCCCTGACCTCCTGGCTCACGGGTGATGCTCAGGCCCTGCGCCGCCCTCCTCCCCCCCGGGCTGCACGGCGGTGCTTCCTTCCTGACGGGCCGTTCAGGGCTAGTCCTTGTTGACCCAGTTTCTCAGGGTCTGCAGCGTCGTGGCCGGGAGTCCTGTCACTTCCTTTGGCGCCATGAGTCCCTGGTCCTGAGACACTGCTGTTTGCTCAACACCAGAACACACAGCCAGTTGTTAAAGCCTCGAGGGATCCAGGCTGCATTTCCACGTGGGCTCTGTCATTTCTCAAAGCCTCGGGTCCCCATGTCTAGCGGGGGGGGGGCTGGACCTGCCCGGGGACGAGGCTGCTGTGAGGTTCGCTGACGGTTGCAGTGCAGGCTCGTGGGCGGCACTTCCGTTTCATGGACTTGCTGGTCCCTAGAGTGAGGCCTCCCGTGCCCGTTGCAGGCCGCCGACTGCCCCGGGAAGCTGTTTATCTTCCACTCCTCCCTGCCCACGGCCGAGGCCCCTGGGAAGCTGCGCAACAGGGACGACAAGAAGCTGATCAACACAGACAAGGAGAAGGTGGGTGCCAGCTGCCCCGCGGCACCCCGCCCGCTCTCGGGGTGCAGGAGGCCCCGGGCGCTCATGCAGGAAAGGGAAGACCCCGCCTGCTCTCGGGGTGCAGGAGGCTGAGGGTCGCAGTCACGGAGGAAGTGTCCTGTCCTGGAGACACTGCTGTGAGCTGCAGCCACACTGAGTGGGGTCTGACTGTCTTCATAGGAGCCACGTAGGAGACAGGTGACGGACGGTTGTAGGACGGAGGAGCTGGGGAGATAGGGCAAAGGCAGAGGGACAGGGGCTGCTCCTGTGCAGACACTCAGTCTGCTCTGCTCACGCCCGAGATGCGCAGCCTGGGGAGGGGGGTCTGTGGGCAGGACGACACCCGAGCCAGGACCTGTGGCCTTGTCCAGGATGAGGGAGGGTGGAGAGCAGCTTTGCGGGTCGTGTCGGAAGGTCAGAGGTCACAGCGTGTCAGACACAGCCTCTCCCGCCGGCCGGCCGTGCCACTGCGCTGATGGCTGTCTCCCACCCATGAGCAGTTCGCCGTGCACAGAAGCAGGTTCCGTTTCCACGGAAGCACGTCCAGTGAGAACGCACAGGGATTCGCAGTGTGAGCCCAGCCGTCTGTGGCTCAGCTCCTTCCGCGCCTCTTCCCGCAGGTCCTTTTCCAGCCCCAAACCAGTGTCTACGACTCGCTGGCCCGGGACTGCGTGGCCCACGGCTGCTGCGTGACGCTCTTCCTCTTCCCCAGCCAGTACGTGGACGTGGCCTCCTTGGGCCTCGTGCCTCAGCTCACGGGAGGGACCCTTTACAAGTACAACAACTTCCAGGTACGGCAGCCACGTGTGCCCCGGGGTGTCTGCGGCCTTTCAGTCTGATGCCCGGCCCGACAGAGGGGAGCTCAGAGCCATGGGTCTCCCCTCCCCCAGCCCCCCCCCCACGCCTGAGTGTCTGCGACGCTGAGCTCAGGCAGCCGGGAGCTGAACACCCGCGGTGGGAAAATACACTTGAAATACGACCTTTCTGTTCTGTGTATTTAGACAGTTTTAAAAGTAACAGCATATTTGTTCTAAATGGTTACGATTTGGGGGTCAGTTCATGACCCCGTCCCTTCTGAGAGTGGAGAGGAGCGAGTGTCGGCGCTGTAACAGACCCGGCTCCAGTGCCACAGGCGGGACGCCAGGCACAGGCGGGCACAGCACGCGCTTCTCCTGGGGACACGGGGCCCTGGAAACGGGCCATAGCGAGGGCAGATGTGCCGCCGCCTCCCCAGGAGGGTGCAGGAGGCGCAGCTGTGCCCACGGTCCCTCCCCCCAAACTTACTAATCACATCAGCCCCTGCCCCACCTGACAGAGGGTCAGGGCCTCCGACTTACATCCCTGCACCTGGGAATGTGGAGTGGGCGCCAGCGTCCCCAATGTAACGACAGATGTTAGTCACTGTCTGCTTTTACTTATCATCAATAGTTACCTTAAATCACCGACCCCTATTAATATCGTGAACTAGTTAAAGGACTCGGTAAGACCAAAGATTGAGCATGAAATAAAGTTGAAAAAGTTTTAAGAGCCCTAGTCAGTGTGGCTCAATGGATAGAGCCTGTGGGCGAAAGGGTCCCGGGTCCGATTCTGGTCAAGGGCACGTGCCCGGGTTGTGGGCTCATCCCCAGCAGAGGGGTGCAGGAGGCAGCCGATCAGTGCTTCTCTCTCATCATGGGTATTTCTGTCTCTCTCCCTCTCCCTTCCTCTCTGAAATCAATAAAAATAAATTTTTTAAAAAAGCTTTAAGAACCCTTTCTAAGATTTCTGGATAAAGTAGGTTTGAATTAAGATTTTAAAAACGAGTTGCTATGCTTCACTGCCATCTGGTGGGCACGGCTCTCGCTTCATCTTCTCAGATGCACTTGGACAGCCAGCAGTTTCTGAATGACCTCAGGAACGACATTGAGAAGAAGATAGGCTTCGACGCTATCATGCGGGTCCGCACGAGCACAGGTACTTTCCCTCACGCTGGCTTCGGTCTCTGGTATGTTGTTTCCTCCATACGTTCCTGACAGGCCAACGAGGAAAACGGTGACACACGGAGAAGCAACGTCTCCCTCTCCCTCGTCCTCAGGTTTCCGAGCCACTGACTTCTTCGGTGGGATCGTCATGAACAACACGACTGACGTGGAGATGGCGGCTGTCGACTGTGACAAGGCGGTGACGGTGGAGTTCAAGCACGACGACAAGCTCAGCGAGGACAGCGGGGCCTTGATCCAGGTGCCAGCTTCCATCCCAGCTCCTCCGTCCCCGCAGGGCGGCGGGGACCCGTTCTATCCTCCATCCCAGCAGGGCGGTGGGGACCCGCTCTGTCCTCCATCACCACAGGGGGGCGGGGACAAAGGTCCTCGCAGGTCTCCGGGAACCCACTCTATCCTCAGAGGCAGAGGCAGCAGGTAGCACCTCCCCGTGCTCCGCACTCCGATGCTCCCCTGTTGTCTGTATCCATAGCAACCTCGTCGCTGCCTGAGAGCCCACGGACAGTGGTCAGTGTCAGGGCATCAGCAGGCCAGGCCAGGACTCGTTCTCGGGGTCAGCACCGCCACCCGGGTCTCTTGCCCCTGCTGTACGCCAGGCGCCCTGTTCTGAGCAAGCATAAGTGGGACTGGCGTGGGGATCAGCAAGACCAACTAGACGCCCTGGAGACATTCCCAGGGTCCTCGTTTGCACCCCAGCGTCACCCTCAGAGACGGGGAGAGGCTGCAGCGTGAGGAGGAGCTCCCTGATGTTTGCGCTAAACCACAGGCCTCGGGGAAAGGGTGCTGCTCGCTCTGCAGCTCGCGGGTCGCATGGGCTTGAGCGTCCAGCGCAGGTTCCTAAGGGAAGGGGGTGCGGAGGCCGCGGGATGAGGCACAGGTTTCTAAGGGAAGGGGGTGCGGAGGCCGCAGGACTGAGGCGCAGGTTTCTGAGGGAAGGGGGTGCGGAGGCCGCAGGACTGAGGCGCAGGTTCCTAAGGGAAGGGGGTGCGGAGGCCGCGGGATGGAGGCGTGGCTTCTCCCGTCCCTGCCGTGAGATCGGCAGCCCGATTACAGGGTGGGCTTCAGGCCGGCAGCTCCCTGTGCAGCCCAGGGCGTGGGCACCTGCCCGTTCCTTTGGGGGCCGTAGGAGGAAACCCTGGGGGGAGGAGGGCTTGCAGCCATGGTCTAACCCGAGGCCAGGCGGGGGTGCATGCTCACGGCCTCCCTGTCCCACCCGCAGTGCGCCGTGCTCTACACCACCATCGGCGGCCAGCGGAGGCTGCGCATCCACAACCTGGCCCTGAGCTGCAGCGCGCAGCTGGCCGACCTCTACAAGAGCTGCGAGACGGACGCCCTCATCAACTTCTTCGCCAAGTCAGGTGAGCTTTGCTGCGCCTCGCCCAGGCCAGGGCCCTCCAGACCTCCCAGGATCCCTGGCTGCAGAATCCGTGGCTGCTCAAGGCCCACGTGTGGATGCACAGATGGCGGGGTGCTGGCATACAACCTGCACACACCCCTGTAGACTTGAGTGCCCTCGGGGGACCGTCCAGAGGCCCGGTCCAGTGCAGATGCTGTGGGACAGCCCTGCTGCCTCACTAGGCAGTGAGGACGAGGATGGCCCTGTGCGCCGGCCTCGCTGGCCTGACTACCCAGCACATGCCAGCAACTGCATCGTTTTTTTTAAGTTTTCCATCCACGGTTGGTTGAATCTGCGGATGTGGGACCCGTGAATCCGCAGGCGGCGGTGACCAGTCAGCCTGGTGGCTAGTGCAGTCGTAGCGACAGGCGCTGTGCTGGTGCAGCCTCTGTGGGTCAACGCAGGATTTATAAGCACACGGGGCCGGCGGGGGGGGGGGGGGGGGCGACCAGCCAGCATCAGTGAAGACGGCCCTGACACACTGATCGCTGTGCAAACCACGGGGACTGCAGAATGCAGAGGCCGGGGGTGAGCGCCCCCCCACCCGCCCCCCAATCCCAGTGGAGGCTCTGACGAGGGTTTAGGAGAAACAGCCTCCAGCCACAGGAACCAGGGTGTCCGCAGGCGCCTCCTCTCTGGGTGCGGGTCCACGCCGCGTCCTGGGGAAGTCGGGCGTCCGGCCTCTCGCTGTGGCCGTGTTCTCCCTGGCGGGCGTCACCTGCGTCAGGAGGCGCTAGGGAGGGGCTGGCACTTCACGGGCTGCTCGTCCCTCAGCCTCGGCCTCGTCTGGTCTGCAGGGACGGCAGTGGGTGATTTCCGTCCGTGTGAAGGGACCGTTTCCGGGCTAAACGCAGCCTCGCTCTGTTTGTGCCGACAGCTTTCAAGGCGGTTCTGCACCAGCCCCTGAAGCTCATCCGAGAGATCCTGGTCAACCAGACCTCGCACATGCTGGCGTGTTACCGCAAGAACTGCGCCAGCCCGTCCGCCGCCAGCCAGGTGAGCCCGCCCCGGCCGTGGGCCTCCTCGCCTGCACGGCGCCGGCCGGGTGAGCGCCCCCCGGCCGTGGGCCTCCTCGCCCGCACCGCGCCGGCCGGTGCTGAAGGCTTGGGGAGAGCAGGCCTCGGGGACCTGCAAGCCCGGGACGGGGCTGCGGAGCTTTATGGCCGACGTCCAGCCTAGTGGCCGGAGAGCGTGTGCCGTCGGGTGGACAGCGCCTGCGCGTGCGAGCGAGGAGCCCTGTGAGCTCCGCACGGTGCACGCGGCTCCCTGTCCTGCGAGGGCGCGGTGCTGGGAACTGTGCGCCTCTGTACTTGGAGGTGAACGAACGAGCTGACACGAGCGAAGGCGGGAGGAGTCCTTTGTCTCTATGACGTGGATGCGATGGATCAGTATGGGGAGCTCCTCCCGTCTCAGAAGCTAGTGGCAGGGAGGCTGAAGCATGTCCTGGCCGGCACACAGCACGTGGACATTTCAGACGCTTCCTTAAAACCCGCGTCCCCCCCCCCCCCACCAGGCAGAACCCTCTGCCCCCACGCCTGCATCCATCCTCCCCCACTCCCTCCCGCCAGTCACACCCGGGCCATTCCTCAAGCCCCACCCACATTTCTGAGCCTAGAACGAGGGCTAAAAGGAGACAGTGAGCAGCAGATGGGAAACTTTCTGGGTTGTTCTTTGTCAAAAGTGGGTGCTGAGCGGACCTGAAGCCCCCTCCACACGTAACAGCACCAGCTCCTGGATCCTGCGGTTTAACTAGAACCCAGATTCCTGCTTCCAACACAGCCGGCCCTACTGGGTGGCACTGGGCCCGGCACTGCTCTCAGTGCCAGGTCGAGGCCGAGGCCGAGGCCAGAGAGGTGCGTAGGGTGCGCAATGGAAGGAGGTGCCCCTGGGGTCGTGTGGCCCAGGCTCGGTTCAGACGTGTAACTACAGACGACACAGAAAGGACTTCCTGGGCTCCCATCGCAGGCAGACTTGTTCCGTTACATCTCACAGCGGAGAAACGTCCTGGCCTGCCCTGTGCTCTGAGGGGAGAGTGAGGGAAGCCCTGCCGCCCAGCTGCTCTGAAGCCGGTGGGAGGGTCCCCGCCTTCCCTGTCGCTGGGTCAGGATGCGAGACGGGGAGCGAAGGGGGGATGGGGACAAGGAGGGCCAGCCCGCAGCCCTGAGGGCCCGCTCCCCGCGTGGAGCCCGCTGGTGGATATTCTTTCTCACTGTTAAGCTGGAAGGGGAAGACGCCAGGAATTCACAGCCAGACACTTGCTTGCAGATGGCCATCGCCCTCGGCACGCTGTCTCTCTTAGGGCTTCCTCGCCCGTGGCTGTGCGGGGGCGGGGGGGTGGGGGAGGCCCTGGCCGGCTCCTTGCTGCCGTGTGTGAACAGAGCTGGGAGAAGAGTGGGCAGTGTGAACGGAGCTGGGAGAAGAGTGGGCGGTGTGAACGGAGCTGGGAGAAGGGTGGGCGGTGTGAATGGAGCTGGGAGGAGGCTGGACGGTGTGAGCGGAGCTGGGAGAAGGTAGGCGGTGTGAACGGAGCTGGGAGAAGGTGGACGGTGTGAATGGAGCTGGGAGAAGAGTGGGCGGTGTGAACGGAGCTGGGAGAAGAGTGGGCGGTGTGAACGGACCTGGGAGAAGAGTGGGCGGTGTGAACGGAGCTGGGAGAAGAGTGGGCGGTGTGAACGGACCTGGGAGAAGGTGGGCGGTGTGAATGGAGCTGGGAGAAGGTGGGCG